GGCAAACATCAACTCGAGGCAGAAGGGCTGGTTCTTCAGGAACAAGGCCACACGGTCACCGGGCTGGCAGCCCAGGCGGTGCAGGCCTGCGGAGAGCTGGGCAGAGCGCTCCAGCAACTGCGCGTACGTGGCCGTGGTCTGCGTGCCCAGGGCCACGGCGGCCGCTTGCGGGCGGGCGATGGCGGTGCGCCACAGCAGGCCAAAAAGCCCGTGCTCAAAGTGCATGGTCGTTGCTCCCGTCGAGTTTCTGGCCCAGTGGGGTGTAGGTGCTCCAGGCGCCGCCTGCCAGCCAACCGCAGTCCACGGGCAACGATATACCGGTCACGGCCGATGCCTGTTCGGAAAGCAGGAAGGCGACGGCATTGCCGATCTCTTCGGGCCGCGCAAACCGCTTCATCGGGATGTGCGAGAGGATGGCGGCAGGGTCGCGTTGGCCGGAGGCGAACTTGGCGTCGAGCGCCTCGGTCAGCGTGAAGCCGGGAGCCACAGCGTTGATGCGGACACCGTCCTGCGCGTAGGAGACGCTGAGCGATGCCGTCAGCGCCTGCAGTGCAGCTTTGGCGGGGCCGTAGGCGATCAGCGGCGTGGCGCGCATGGCGGTGATGGAAGACACGGTGACGATGGCACCAGCGCCCGCGCTGCGCATGGGTTCGCCCCAGATGCGGCAGCAGTGGTAGGTGCCGTGGTAATTGACCTGCCACACCCTGTCGTGGTCGGCCTGCTCCAGCGATTCAATGTCGCGCATGGGCTGAAGGATGCCGGCGGCCGTGACAAGTTGCTGGATGTGGATGCCGTCCTGCGTGAGTTGGCGGGCCAGCGATTCGAGCTGTGATGGGGCAGAGACGTCTGCCGCCTCTGCGCGCACCTGGACGCCCAGGGCGCTCAGTCGTTCGCGTGCGGCGGCAAGTCGCTCCGTGTCGCGGTCCAGCAGGACGAGGTTGCTGCCGCGCTGGGCCATCACCTGCGCCACCGCCAGGCCAATGCCGCTGGCGCCGCCGGTGACCAGGGTCCAGCTGCCTGCGAATGTCGATAGGGTCATGTTGCTGTTGTCCAGAAAAAGAGAGTGCCGGGCACCGGCAGTGCGTTCAGCCGATCCAGGCGCCGCCGTTCACGTCCACCACCTGCCCGTGCATGTAGCTGCTGGCGGGGCTTGCCAGGAAGGTCACCACGCGGGCTATCTCCAGGGGCTGGGCTGCCCTGCCTGCCGGAATGCGCGAGGCGTCAAATTGCCGTCCGTCGATCATCGGGGTCAGCGTGACGCCGGGCGCCACGCCGTTGACGCTGATGCCCAGCGGCGCCGCCCGCAGCGCCAGCCAGCGC